TACTGCATATCGTAACATAAAGGGAATTGAGTATTTAGCGAATATGGAAATGGAACTAAGAATATTTAATCACTGACGCACACCTTTCTTTGAAGTGTATGCTTATACCTACTATCACGTTATGTTTTTATATTTTCAGCACAAATTTCTTCATTGTGATTGACATTTGCAACCACATAGTCGGCTTTTCCAAGTTGAAAAAGTTACATCTAGAAATGGATTATCGTTTTGTTATACAAATTTATCAAAGTAATTTATTTAAAATTTGACATCATTATATTAAATAATATGCACATTTCCTTTGTATTTGTAAAAAGTTTTATTTGTAATATTTACAGAAATACAGAATAGAAACAAATCTACAGTACAATCGACAGAGGATAATGCCTTGTACAAGAATAAGTCAAAAATGCAAATTAAACTTTTTTCATCAGAGCCTGACTGGTTGTACTATAGACTTGTCTTTAACTATAAAATAGGGACATATGACGCTGGTATCGTTCATAAAATTACGATGAATAAAATTGTATTCTAAACATTAAAAGAAGATATTTATTAAATATTTTATAAAATGCTGCACTATCGCTTTATTTTAGCTTTTAATTTTATGACACTTTGAGACATTTTTTAATACATACAGTATATCTTTTAATTCTCCCATAACTTAAAAGATTTTAAAAGATAATCATCATTTAATAATAACGAAAATTCTTTACAATTATATATCTAATTGCACATCATTGTTCGATTCCAGTGAATGACCCATTTGTATCATGATAACTATGTAGGTCGATACAGTTTTCAAAATCTGTAAAGAGAAGTATAAATATAATTATAAAAATTTTGTTGTCTTGTTTAAAAATCTTATGTAATTATGTTTCTCTTTCTCTCTTTCGAATGCAACAATTTAATACAAACCGAGCTTAAGATACGATTATCCAGAGTTACACCAAAAACAAAGAATGTTACCGGACTTTGTAAAATTTGAATACTGAATTGTTGAATCTGAAACAATTGAGAACGATAATTATGTAATACATCATCAGATAATTATATAATACATCAACAGTTTATTATATTATATTATATATAATAATAGCAAACAAACTTCCTCCTGCATATCAGTATCTGCGTCGCATCCATAAATAGCGTGAATGATTTCAATGGTTTTGTTTGCCTGTAAGTAAGTGTGTTAACTTAATTATAAAATTAATTAATTTATAATTAGACAATGACAGACGAGATAAATTACCTCATTAGCTGTATTCTTGCAAACGTAACTCAAATAAATGATTTTCAAAATGCTCATAAAACTGAATGCCAACATCAAAGTTATTTGCTCTATCAAAACTTTGTACTGCTGTGTAATATATCGAATGTAGAAATAGTAAAGTGATCCAGTGAGAATTAGAATAATATCTCCTATCTCCCAAGCTATCTGTACTCCGAAGATAGTGCATACCATTTTTGTTATTTTACACAACTCCAGATGCACCTGTCTTAAAATTATTCAAAGATAATTAGGAACATTTTTATTTAAAGAAAAAACTCTTTTGTTTTTTAAAACAGTTTCTAAAAAAATCTAACTTAAATATTTTTAAAAATCTAATTTAAATATTCTAAACCAGAAAAAAATCCAAAAAACTCAGAGCGAATGAGAGTCAGCGTGATTATCAATATACAAAATTTAATCTTAAAACTTTATTATATAAATCCAAATAATCTTTAAACGTTTATTATTATATGCATTTGTTATTGTATTGCTGAGAAGGACTCCAAAGAGAATCGAAATGTACAAAGATTATTTGGATTCATAAAATAAAGTTTTAAGATTGAACTTTACATACTAACTATCACGCTGACTCTCATTCGCGATAGATTTTTGGATTCTTTTCTGGTTTTGAATTTGGAAAATAAGAAAATTAAATATTCTAAGCGTTATAAATATTGTAAATTTTGAATATCTTAATGATTGACTTTGAATATTATTCATATCACTTTAAATATGATGGGCTTTAAATATTATCAATTTTTACTTCGGAAAAATGTTGTAAAGCTGATTGCAATCTGCTTCAAATATATTTTTTATAGAATTTATTTCATAACAACGCACTTTATAATCTCTATACTCACTTGATTATTTGTAACAGGTGTTTACGTTCCTGACATTTTGCCATCGTGGCACTGTGTCTTCGAGATCGATTTCGGAGTTTACTTTGCAATTGTTTTTTGAACTGAGATGGAAGGAACTCAGTTCCAATTTGAGATGCAAGCCGATTTTGACTCTCCTCTGATACAAAAACGTTCATTCGAGACTGCTTTCGCCGATGTAATTGAAACATTATATTTTTCAAAAAAATATGCTTACTTTGTTCGACATTCATAACTTTGGTATAATCTTTTAATTCAAAAATGCCCAATTTTATCTCTTTTGTTGATAAATTTATTAATTTCTCGTACAAGAGTTGGTTGATTAATTTGAATTTCATTTGTAAACACCTGCATTGTTATAATAGCATATTAAGTATATTTGAAAACTCTTGTTTTTGTATATCCAATAAACATATATGTGCTTAAACTGGATTATTTAGAATCAATTTACATACTTTACAAATATGTAGAATTCAAAGACGTTAATACCGTTGACAGTCAACGAATACATGTATAGCAATATAATGTGAATTGCAGTAAATGTGTCCACACGTTTCTTTAAATGAGGAAAAGATACAATGTTCAGAATGAGACAGACTGTAATCCACATAATTATTATTCCGTTTGTCACAAAATATATCCCGTTATAATTCACCGACAATCCAAGCTGTCCCAATGTTTCATCAATCTTAAAGATCTTTTTGTAACAAACTTTAAATTTCTGCACATATCAATTTACAATAAAATATTATTATAATTAATACATAATTTTTTCTTAAAATTATATTATAAGCTTGTAAATAAATGATATAACAATCATTTATAAGACATCATGTTAGTATCGTTTGCTCACCTTCGTATGCCACCAGCCTAGTAACATCTTGAGAATCACAGATACAATGGTAACGTACATCAATACTTCGTATAGGATATGTTCTATCTTCATTAGTGCAACATTTGAATTGTATTTTCTTTCCAAATACAATGAGCTACAGCTATATAAACCACATATAAACAAAAAATAGATCAGACTGAGTATAGGTCTTGAATAACCACGCGGATACTCAAAAGCACGAAGTCCTAATAAACAATTGAGACTTGTCATCAATGCTATCGCTTCGGAAAAGCATTTTGGACGCGTAAATAATTTCATCTTGTTAGATCCCTTTCTTTCATACAATGTTCCTCGACTGTCATTTACTTAAACAATGTCTTTGTTTTTAATCTGTAGTTGCTCGAACACCTGAGATATTAAAAGCAAAGTGATATTTCTCTCAGAATTTCTTGCCGTTCTCACGTTCAGCATTAATACAAGGAAGTGTTAATTCCAGCAATGTGTATTAATTGCTACGTAATTAAAATAATGTATAATTAAATAAAACTAGCGTATAAATATTACATATGTGAAAATATCACGCAATATGCTATACTTGGCGATCTATGCAAAAATGGTTGATGATTATGTTAAATCAAACCATGATGCTATTCACTATTCGTCGCTTTTTTTCTTTCTTTCTTTACTCTATTTGCTCTCGTTTTCCCACAATTCACAAGTCAATGATTGATTTTTAATGAATAAAGGAGCACATATGAGCTCATAAACGATTATTATGAAGAACGCAAGTATACTAAATGAATATGCGCAAACAAGCCTCCTACCATAGCCATTGAAGCGATCCTATAGTATATGTATGTAACTATAAAAAGAATTAACTTTCCCCGTGTGAACCAAGGAGTAATTAGTTATACAATCATGCGCACAGGGATCATTTTTTATTATCTTAATGCAATAATATCAAAAGGTGCTATCCGGGATCTACAGCAATACGTTGCCGGAAAAAGATAATTGCTGGCGATTGTTGCAGTGCATGATTGTTGCTGAATATGCAAATGCACGAGGAATATACAGTGAAATTAAATAAATCGCTATACATTTGTTATATATATGATCAACGAATCCAAAAACAGATTTAAAAAAATATCCTAGGACGTGCTATTTCCACATAAGAACGCGGCAATTTTTGCGTAAAGACTGTTTCGTTTGTGCAGGAAATTTTTAACATTATATCTTGAAAAAACCTGTTTCTAGAAAACAGTTAATCAATAAAATTGAATTCAAATTAAAGAAAATTCGAGGAACTGCAACAAATTATTAGGTGTTGGAATTAATTCGTAGCGTTTTTTAATGAAAGAATGTTATTTATTTCACATGAGCATTAAAAAATACATTAATGAAAGTACTTCCCATCACTTGTAAAATGCTACGAATTAATTCCAACAACTAATAAATACTATAATTACATAAAAAGTTTCTCTTCACACGTAATTTATTTCTTACTGAATATATAATATGTAATACAGTTATAATTCATAATTCATTATTAATTATTAATTAAAACATTGAGCATACTATAATATGTATATCATAGAGAGTGCGTCAATACTGTCCGGTGCACGCATAAGAACATGTCACGTAGATTAAGTCGACGAGTCAGCGAGATAATTTACGGTGGACATGATAGCGTTTCTAAATGTATACGTATTTTCCACGAATATTCCGTCACGATTGATCACTATATGATGAATATAAAAAAGTGAAACAGATATCATTTCTGATAGTCCTGATGATCCTGTAATCTCATTTGCTTCATGATATTTTATCATTGTCGCCTTTATATGCTGCAAAAGTTAAAAAATAACATTGACGTATTTCTATGAGTTTCTATTTGAAGACGAAAAGATGCAAGAGCTAAAACTATATAATAGAACAAGTTTAATAATTTATTTCTGGAGTACATTAAAGAGCTATTATTTATAATATAAAAATTAATCTTTTTTTAAAGTAAAATTTAGACCTCAAAATTTTCGCGTGCAGGAATGATAGCCTCTATAGAGCCATCCCTCAAAATTCCTTCCTCCACAATCAGCCAGAGATGCAACATAACATTATTTAAGCCGCTGTTAGCGTAGAAAATTACTTCAAATGTAAAGTTGCCGAGCAAGCTGCATTGCAAAAATGTTATTTTATAGTGTATATTGCATGACTATTATAATTACAAGCAATTATCGTGCATATCAAAATAAATACAGGAAAAAGATAATAAAATAATTTACAGATCGTCACATCACCCCAATCGATTTTATGTAGCTTTTATTTTCATGACAATCTGTGACATTTGTTAGATACACACTATTATTAATTCTTTTATAATTAAAAATATTTTAATTATAATATATAATCATTTTAATTAATATAACATATAATTATTTAATAATATTTATAATTCTTTAAAATTGCCTATCTTGCACGGCGTTGTCCGATTCCAATGTTATGCTAACTTGTACCATAATAACCACATAGATCGTTACAGATTTTAAAATCTGTAAATAAAAAAGAATAAGCATGATGCGTTTATAATCAGAGATAGAATTATAAAAATAATTTCCCTTTTTTTCTTTAATGTATGTAAAGAAACAATGAATTTTTTTTAGTATACTTTTTTTAGTACATTTTTTTTTTAGTATATTTTTATTTATATAAATTTTGTCGTTTTATATAATAAACGCTAATACAATAGCAATGTTTATATGCAATAATTTGATACACACCATGGTTAAAATACGATTATCAAGAGTAAGACCAAATGCGGAAAATGTTACTGGACTTTGCAAAATTTGAATACCAAATTGCTGAATCTGAAACAATTTGGATGGTAATTATATAATAGCATAAAAGTAATCGATTTACTCGCAAAAAAAGCGGGCCACTATAATGTTAGTGACATTTCTTTTTGCGGATTTTTGAGTATATTTAACAAAATAACAGTAAACAAACCTCCTCCTGCATATCAATATCTGTATCGCATCCATAAATTGCATGAATAATTTCGATGGTTTTATTTCCCTACCAATAAATGTTAGCTTAATTATAAAATCTATAATTGTAGATACAATGATAGATAAGATACATTACCTCATCGGCCGCATATTTGCAAATACGACTTACAAAAACGGCTCTGAAAATGTTCAGGAAAGACAATGACAACGTTAAAGCTGTCTGAGCTGGGACACCTTTAACTTTGTGCTGATGCATAACGTATCGAATAAATAAATTATAAAAAGCTCCAGACAGATACATAATAATTAGTCCTATTTCACAAGCTACCTGTACTCCAAGGATAGTGCATATTGTTTTCGATAGTTTACATAACTCCAGATGCACATGTCTTAAAAACAAAACCAAAAATAATCAGAAATATTTTTATTTGAAAAACAAACTTGCTTTTCTCAAAAAGCTTTTAAAAAATCTAACTTAAATATCCCAAGTTTTGAAGGAAATTACAAATTATAAATATATTTTATTAATGACAAAATTGATGAGTTTTGAATCGATTTTTATTTCGAAAAAATGTCATAAAATTAAATAAAATATCTGTTTTAAATATATCTTTTTTATATAATTTTATCAATATACTTTATAAGTTTTGACACTCACTTGATTATTTGTAACAGATGTTTACGTTCTGGACATGTTGTTATCAAAGGGTTGTATCTTTGAGATTGATTTTTGAATTGGGATGGAAAGTGAGATTCAATTTGAGATAAAATCTGATCTTGATTTTTTAGTTCCGAAATATTTATTCGAGATTTTTGCCGCTTACGCCGTCGAAATATCATCATTGAGGAAAAAATATGCTTTCGTTGTTCAACATCCATAATTTTGGCATAATCTTTCAATTCAAAAATGCCTAATTTTATTTTATTTGTTGATAAATTTATTAAGTTTTCACACAAGAATCGATTAATTAATTTAAATTTTATTTGGAAGCACCTGCGTTGTTGTAACAGAATGTTAGATTAAAATTCATTGGCTAACGTAACAAAATAAAATTACAGAGAAAATTATATACATTCTTATATACGGCCTTAGGCCATACATATACAGAACCCCTTAATCTATTGCATTTTTATAAAAATGACGATAATATAAGTCAAAGAAGACGTAGGACAAACAAAATATTAATTTGATATAAATGTAAACATTATTGTTCAATAAAACTATGTTTTAATTTACTTTTTGTGAGAACGTTTACAATTTATGGGAGTTTTATATATGTATACGTTTTTTTAGAGAGATACATATGGATAAAGTTGTAATATTACATCAACGTCATATAATGTGTAATAAGTTATGTGAAGCAGAATCAATAAAAATGAATTATTAATTTTACCTAGTAATTAAAGAGCAAATCAAATAAATGTGTACATAAATTTCTGGATTTAGAAGGTAAATTTACGTACCTTACAAATATGCAGAATTCATAAACATTAATAGAGTTGACAGTTGTCGAATACATAACAACCAATATAACATAAACAGAAGTAAATGTGTCTGTGCGTTTTTTTAAGTGAATAAAAGATACAATACTTAAAATGAAAGAGACTGTAATCCAGACGGTTATCATTCCGATTGTCACGAAATATATTCTGTCATAATTTACTGACAATCCAAGCTGACGCAATGTTTTATCGATTTCGAAGATTTTTTTGTGACAAACTTTAAATTTCTACATATGTTAATTTATGAAAAAAAAATATTATAATTTACACATATACATATTTTCAAATTATTTTATCTTAATTATATTATACAGCACATATATCATAAAATCATGAATAAGTTGATATACAATTACTTATAATAAATCACATACTATTTCGTTCACTTACTTTTGTATGCCACCAGCCTAACAGCATCTTGAGAATCACAGACACAGCAAGGACGTACGGCAATATTTTATATAGAACGTATTCTAACTTCATTAATTTAAGATTTGAAAAATATTTTTCTTCCATATTGAACGAGCCACTGAAATATATACCGAATATAAACAAAAAATAGATCAAACTGAGTATAGGTCTTGGATAACCATGAGGATACTCAAAAATACGAAGCCCCAAAAAGCAACTAAGATTTGTCACTAATGCTATCGCTTCGGAGAAGCATTTTGGACGCGCAAATAACTTCATCTTGTCAAATTTCTCTCTCTCTCTCTTTCGAACTGTATTCAATTGTCATTTACTCCATCAAAATGTCTTCGTTTTTGGTCTTCAGTTAATCAAATATCTAAGAATATCAGAAACGACATAATCCTTTTTCACAATTTCTTGTTGATTTTTCAATTACAAGGGAGTATTAATTTCAGCAATTCTAACTTATCATAAAATTAAATTAATAATTAAATGGTACTAACGTATTAAATTTACGCATATGTACATTACCCAATTTTCTATAGTTCACAAGCGAGAATGGTTAACGATTATGTTTGATGAGACAATAACGCGATTATTTGTCTCCTTTCGTTTTACTTGCTCTACTTTGTTTCTTGCAGTTTGCAAGTTAATGATACGTCTTTGGTAAATGAAGGAACATACATAAACGATTATTACGAAGAACACGAGTACGCTAAATGAACGTGCACAAATGAGCCTCCACGGTGGTCTTTAAGCGATTATACAAAATATTTATATAAAAAGGATGTCCATGAAGCAATAAGCAATTTCTTATATAAACATGCGCGCAAGGATCGCTTTTCATTACATTAATGCAATTAACACTATAATATGCTACCCAAGATCTGTAACAACACATTGCTTAATTTAAGAAAGATGACTCATAGTCATTGCTAAGTAAAAATGCACATAGATATGCAAGTGAAGACGACAGGTCAATAGATTCATGCATTACATATGGCTTAACAAATTCAAAAATTTATTGACGAAATATTCGAGAATATGCTATTTTCTTTACAAAAACGTTGTAACGTATACGTTTTTACGTATAAACTATTATATTCCCTAACTGGATAATTTTTTACGTTACTTTGAGAGAATTATTCATGGAAAATAGTGAGTAATGTTATCCAAGATCTACAACAACACATTGCTTGGCTTAAAAAAGATCGCACAGTTATTGCTAAATACAAATGCAACATATGCAAGTGAAGCCGACAGACCAATAGACTTATGCATTACATGTAGCTTAACAAATTCAAAAACTTATTGACAAAATATTCAATTAAAATGTGCTATTTTCTTTAGAAAAACGTTGTAATTTTTATGTAAAAAGTATTATATTCATGCAGGAAATTTTTAACATTATCTTTAGAAAACCTGTTTCTAGAAAACAGTTAATTAATGAAATGGCAAACTAAAGAAAATTCGAGGAACTGCAACAAATTAAATATCACAATTGCATGAAAAGTCTCTCTTCACTCGCGATTTATTTCTTATTGAATATATAATATGTAATACAATTATAATTTATTATTTATTACTAATTAAAACATTGAGCATACTATAATATATATATATATACCATAGAGAGTGTCAATATTATCCGGTGCACGCATAAGAACATATTACTTAGATTAAGTCGACGAGTCAGCGAGATAATTTACGGTGGACATGATAGCGTTTCTAAATATATAGGCGTATTTTCCACGAATGTTCCGTCATGATTGACCACTATATGATGAATTTATTACGTTGAATATAAAAGAGAGAAAGATATCATTTCTAATAGTCCTGTAATCCCATTTGCTCTATGATATTTTATTGTCGTTTTTATATTCTGCGAAAGTTAAAAAATAATATTGGCGTATTTCTATGAATTTTTATTTGAAGACGAAAAAAATACAAGAGCTAAAACCTAGATAGAACAAGTTTAATAACTTATTTCTGAAGTACATTAAAGAGCTATTATTTATAACATAAAAATAAATCTTTTTTTAAAGTAAAATTTAAACCTCGAAATTTTCGCGTGCACGAATGTTAGCCTCTATAGAGCTCCCTCAAAATTCCTTCCTCCACAATCAGCCAGAGATGCAACATAACATTATTTAAGCCGCTGTTAACGTAAAAAATTACTTCAAATATAAAGTTGCCAAGCAAGCTGCATTGCAAAAATATTATTTTATAGTATATATTGGATGACTTTTGTAATTACAAGCAATTACCGTGTATATCAAAATAAATACAGGAAAAAGATAATAAAATAATTTACAGGTCGTCACATCACCTCACTCTATTTGACGTAGTTTTTATTTCCATAATCTGCGACATTTGTTAGATACACAATATTATTAATTCTTTTATAATTAAAAATATTTTAATTAATATATAAGCATTTAATAATATTTATAATTCTTTAAAATTGCCTATCTTGCACGGTGTTATCCGATTCCAATGTTATGCTCATTTGTATCATAATAACCATATAGATCGTTACAGATTTTAAAATCTGTAAATAAAAAAAAATATAAGAATAATGCGTTTGCAATTAAAGATAGAATTATAAAAATAATTTCTCTTTTTTTTTAATGTAAAGAAACAGTGAATTTGTTTTAGCATACATATTTTTATTTATATGAATTTTGTCGTTTTATATAATAAACACTGATACAGTAGCAATGTTTCATATACACTAATTTGATACACACCATGGTTAAAACACGATTATCGAGAGTAAGACCAAATACAGAAAATGTTACTGGACTTTGCAAAACTTGAATACCAAACTGCTGAATCTGAAACAATTTGGATGATAATTATTATTAGCATAAACGTAATCGATTATACACTTACTCATAAAAAAGCAGGCCACTGTAATGTTATAGTGGTCCATTTTTTTTGCGGGTTTTTTAACATATTTAATAATATATTTAATAACATAATAGTAAACAAACCTCTTCCTGCATATCAGTATCTGCGTTACATCCATAAATCGCATGGATAATTTCGATGGTTCTATTTCCCTACAAATAAATGTTAACTTAATTGTAAAATTAACCTAACCTAATTACAGACGCAATGAAATAAATTACCTCATCGGCCGCATTTTTGCAAATACGACTTACAAAAACGGCTCTGAAAATGTTCAGGGAAGATATTAACAACGTTAAAGCTGTCTGAGCTGGGACATCTTTAACTTTGTGCTGATACATAACATATCGAATAAATAAATTATAAAAAGCTCCAGACAGACACATAATAATTGCTCCTATTTCCCAAGCCACCTGTACTCCAAGGATAGTGCATATTGTTTTCGATAGTTTACATAACTCCAAGTGCACTTGTCTTAAAAACAAAATCAAAGATAATCAGAAATATTTTTATTTAAAAAACAAACTTTCTTTTCTCAAAAAGCTTTTAAACAATCTAACTTAAATATCCCAAGTTTGAAAGAAATTATAAATTATAAATACATTTTATTAATGACAAAATTGATGAGTTTTGAATCGATTTTTATTTCGAAAAAATGTTATAAAATTGAATGCAATTTCAAATATATCTTTTTTATAGGATTTTATAACAATATGCTTCATAAGTTTTGATACTCACTTGATTATTTGTAGTAGATGTTTACGTTCTGGACATTTTATTATCGAATGATTGCATCTTTGGGATTGATTTTTGAGTTTATTTTGAAATTGGTTTTTGAATTGCGATGGAAAATAATATTTAATTTGAGATACGACCTGATCTTGCTTCTTTAACTCCAAAACATTTATTCGAGATTGCAATCGCCGACACCATCGAAATTTCATTGTCGCGAAAAAAATATGCTTCTGTTGTTCAACATCCATAATTTTGGCATAATCTTTTAATTCAAAAATGCCTAATTTTATTTTATTTGTTGATAAATTTATTAAGTTCTCACATAAGAAT